AATAATCATGTGCAACAGGTAATTTTATTCGAAAAACAAAATACGTGATAAAACATTGACAATCCTTTTTACGTTTGAAAACTTTGCGTCGTGTTCTTTGTTATTATTTTCATCGTTTCTATACATATTCGATATTAACGCTTTTGAGAGACTCCTGTGATTTCTCGTCGTATACGTTGAAGTTACTAGAGAAGAAGAAGAAAAAAAAAAAAAAAAAGGAAAAAAAAAATTAAAGCAGAAAAAGAAAAAGAGAAATGAAAAATGGCTCGCTAAGGGGAAAAAATTGTTGTCATTAGAAAAACTTAAGAATATAACGAGCCATTTGACAAAAATATTGTTCAAAGGAATGAATATGGCGAATAAAGAAGCAATAATAAATTATTCAATTACGTTTTTCAGTGTAATTAATTCGGGAAAATTTGAAATGGATCGTCTACATCGATATAAATCAATTTGTTATTTCTCATATAAATATATTTTCTTTTAAATGAGATCATATAATATAAAGTGATAATGTATAATAAATTTTTTTTATGACAGACGAAAGAGAGAAAGAAAAAAAAAAGAAAAAAAAAAAAACAACAGCAAGAGGAAAATATATCATTCCGTTACGAGTAGTGGTTTAAAAAAGAGAAACAAAAAGAATGTTATCGTCAGAGAGAAAAAAAAAAAAGTAAAGGTAAAGAGGTAGAAAGGAAAAAGAAAAAAGAAAAAGAAAAAAAAAAAAGAAAAAGAAAAAGTAGAACGGAAAAGAAAACAAAAAAAAAAAGAAAAAAAAAAAAGACATATTAATAACTTTACGACAGTTTTTAAAGGTGGAACCTATTTTCTTACATCTCCTGGCTGAAATAACAAGGAGGAAAATATCTTATCCAGCAAAGGCGGCTAATCCGGTGATCGTTCTTCCGAGTATCAAAGTGTGTATGTCGTAAGTACCTATATCGAAGTAAAAGAATAAGAAAAAAAGAATAAAGAAAATGAAAACAACAACAATAATTATATACACACACGCACACACACATGGTTATATATATATATATAATAGATATAATTATATATAAATAGACATCGTGGAGGGTTAATAATCACTGATACGATAAGTACGTTAGAATTTGGATTTTAACGCGAGTAACGTCAGGAAAATATAAAATTTCACTGGAGTCATCGATATTAAACGTTTCATTAATCTTAACGCGATAATCGATTTAAACGGACTATATTTTAACGTCAAAATGTTCTCCTGCCTACCTTCGTAAGTGTTAACGGATTCGAGATTCATCACGTGCCTAATGACGTGATACTCGTCCGATATGCCATTACCACCTAACATGTCTCTCGCGGTCCTGGCAATTTCTAACGCTTTGCTAGCAGAATTTCGCTTTAACATAGAGATCATCTCGGGGTTAATCCTGAAAAGAAACGGAGATAACGTTATCGTGGGAAGAGAAGTATCAAAAATAAAAAAAAAAAAAAAAAGAAAAAAAAAATAACAACAAAAGGGGGAAAAAAAAGAAAAAGAAAAAATAAGAGAAGAAACAAAGAACAGAGAAAAAATTATAAGTGAATCGATTTAATCAGATCGGAAACATTTAGATTTACCTGCCTTCATCCTTTAATCTTCCAACTCGTAAACATGCTTGTAAACCAAACGCTATATCGCACATCATATCAGTCAGTTTCTTTTGTATCAATTGATTAGCAGCCAAAGGTCTATTAAATTGTATTCTTTCTAATGTATATGATCTTGCTATTTTAAAACAAGTTTCAGCTGCTCCCAATGCACCCCAGGATATACCAAAACGAGCATCGTTTAAACAATTAAACGGTCCCTATATATAAACAATATATATCTCTCTCTCTCTTTCTCTCTCTCTCTTTTTCTCTTTCTATTTTGAATATCATAAATCGTAATCATTAATTAACTTAAATGAACTAACTTTCAAGCCCTCTACGCTCCGTAATAAATTTTCTTCGGGTACTATGACATTGTCCATCAATATCATCCCAGTGGTGGAAGCTCTCAATGAAAATTTTCCTTCGATTTTTGGCGTGGACAAACGATTTTGATTTTTTTCTCTTTCGATTATGAATCCCCGAATAATTTCATCCTCGCATTTTGCCCAAACGATCAGTATATCGGCTATGGGTGCGTTTGTAATCCTATTATTAGAAAATATATTAAATAAAATACAGATTATTTATTTGTTGTACAAACATATATATACACACATACACACACACACACACACACATATATATATATATAAAATTTCTTTTTTTCTTTCTTTTTATTTTTATTTTAAAAACATCCATCCATGTATTGCTAATATCATCTATATTTACCATGTTTTGCTTCCATTCAATTTGTAAATTTTTTTATTAGAATCATATACAGCTTTAGTTTGAATGCCTGATACGTCGCTACCATGATTGGGTTCGGTTAAACCGAAACATCCAATTAAATCTCCGGTAACTATAAAATCAATCAATTAAAAATTAAATTAATGTTGAATAATTTAAATCGATTATTATAACTTACTAAGTTTTGGAAGAAATCGTTCCTTTTGAGTTTGATCACCGTAAGCATATATACCACCGGCAACGAGCGACGATTGTACGGACATCGATGATCTATAAGAACTGTCGACAGACTCGATCTCTTTAGCAAGAAGTCCATAAGATACCGAGGATACATTGGAAGCTCCATAACCCTTCAAGGTACAACCCAAAATGCCAAGAGAACCGATCTCCTTAATGATTTCCTTGTGAAAATGTTCTTTACGATTGGCCTCGATAATACGGGGCATTAATCTTTCTTGACAATAATTTCGAAATTGATCTCTTATCATAATCTCATCCTGTGTTAATTGAGATTCGAGATCGAACGGATCGTCCCATTTGAACTGTGTATCTGGATGAATAATTTTATTTAAAAAAAAGAAAAAAAAAGAAAAGAAAGAGAGAGAGAAAGAGAGAGAGAAAGAGAGAGAGAGAAAAGAAAACAAAATATGATTAAATATATAAATTATAGGAGACAGTGACGTTACCGACTGAGCCGTGACTTAACCGATAACTTCTGCCATCTATAGGCACAATGACAAATTAATAATGTATTGTGAACAACATGACAAAAAAAATATTCTTATTTACTTTATCTTCTATTAAAATTTTCTTTTTATTTAACAATAAAACTATTAACTTAACTAAAGAAGAAAAAAAAAAGGAAGAAAAAAACGATATGAAATTATTAAGAACGGACTTACGTTTTTTTTGTAGACACGAAATTACAGAGATTCCTGATTACGTATATTTTATCGTTAAGAAGAATACAGAAAATTTGTCTGACGATATATATATATATATATATATAAATTTCTTTGTTCACGATATCATTTTTTCTATATAGTGACACGTTAAAGCAATATAATCGTTATAAATTATTACGAAAAGGATACGTCTGGTTAAAATTTGTTTATATAAATTTATACACTTAAAAAAGTTTGTCTGTACGCGAACTACCATCTTGTCGAGTATCCGTTAGAGAACTGACTAGATGAGATTTCAGATCAGTAATATTGTTCAGATTTCTCTTGATTTATATGCACGACACGTATCTAATCGCATACAGTAGCGATAAATGAGATAGATATTCTCTGAAAATTCCAGTAACGTTCTTTATTTTTATCATTGAACTTTCTGACTTTTGAACGGGATCTGTCTTACCGATGCATTATCATACAATGATTCACATTTACGTCATTGCTTAAGAGTTTCATTAAATATTACAAAATCTCCTTATCTCATATATATAAATTGAAAAATCGGTTCGTTTGGCCCGTCTTCGTTTATTTATCCCTTTTTTATTTATCTATCTATTTGTTTCATTTCTTTTTTTGTTACTTTTTTTTTGTCATTTCTTTTTTTTCTTTTTTTTCTTTTTTTTTTTCTTGTTATTTTTTTATCAATCTCATCTTTCCACACGGAATTGTTTTAACATGTAAGAATACAATGGATGAATTAGATCGTCGATTTATTTGATAACATAAGAAATTATTTTATCGAATTAATTTATATACATATTGCATATCTTAATGATAACAATTATTTAGCGATTATTTATTATACAAATGATAGGTGACGTGAGAGTATTTGAAATGTTTTTTTAATTGATTAGAAAAATTAAACGTTAAACACATTGAAATTATTAGAAGATAGAAAAGACCAAGTTTTCAATTATAATTGTTATTCTTAGAGTTGAAATTAATCGATGTTGAAATTAGAAATTCTTTCCTATTTTTCTTTTATTTAATAATTTCATACAAATATTCGACGTAAGTGCGATAAAATTGTATAAAGGTTTTTTTTTTTTTCTTTCCACGATCTATGATATTAAGAAATTGATTTCTCTAATATAAAATATACACATAATATCGTTAAGATAATGTTACATGAATTATGTTTCTATATTTTTTAATAGCTGGAGATAATAATACTCCATTGTCAAATCGAATTTTGTTATATTCACGGCAGTCTAAATTGGACGGATCGTTTACTTTTTTTTTTTTTTTTTTTAAACACATTGCGGATCAGACATTTTATTGCTAATTATTATTTATTGCAAAGAGAGAGAGAGAGAGAGAGAGAGAGAGAGAGAGAGAGAGAGAGAGAGAAAGACAGAGAGAAAAAGAGAGGTATTTCTTATATTAAATATTTTGAAATTATTTTTCTTCATCTATTATTACGTCAATGATTCGTATGTTTGATCAATAATCAATGATCAATAATTATAACAAGAGACTTATAATCGGTCTGGATTAAAATATATTATATATTAATATTAAATATTATTTTTATATATAATATATTTATATATATATATATATATATATATATATTGTTTAATAAAATATTATATATAATAATTATATTTAATAATATATCATATATATATATATATATATATATATATATATATATATATATATATATATAATCTGTCCGTAATGCGTTAAAAGGAAAAGAGATGAAAAACTTGGAAATGCTTTCTCATACTATAAGAATATCGTCCTTTTTTTCGGGACCGTCTGGTAATTTTTGATTTAATACGCGTATATTATTAAAGAGATATCCAGTGGCGTCTGCGACAGGTCTAACGATTGCTTGTACAAAAGCAGTAAAGAAGCTTCTCGTAGCTGCACAAGTTATTTTCCATACTCGAAGGCAGGGAGCGACGCACCATATATGCTAAAAAAAGTATAGATGATATATAGATTGCTACGGTAACTTAATGTATTGATCACATTTTTATATAGACTAGGTATCTATTGACTGATATTAATAAAACATTTGAAGGAATGGAAGGGATGTATTAATAATAATAGTTATAAATTAATCTATTCAAACGAAATAAAATTTTAAGGAATGATCGTTACTCAATGAATGATCCAATAAATTCAACATGCAATTATAGTTTTAGGATAATTAATGTAAATACAAAAAAAAAAAAAAAAAGAAACAGAAAAAGAAAAAGAAAAAGTTAAATAAATATTACAATTCGATGGAAATACAAAAAAAATTGTCGTATATTTTATATCGCTTTCGATGAAATAGTAAAAAGGTATTTGCGTATAAAAGAATTTTCTATTAATTAATTAAAGGAAAGAAGACAAAAAAGAATACGAGAGAGAGAGAGAGAGAGAAAGAGAGAGAAAATTCAACGATCTTGATTGATGCACCGGTCTCGCTTAAAAATCTCTATTTTTCGTTTATTTATAATAAAATAAAGCTTGTACAAAGGTCGCAATTTATTCGAGATTTAAAATAAATACACTTTGCGTAACCATAAAAATTTCATGTTTTTGTTGTCCGTTTTTAACGTTCGAGTTTTTGCTCACAGAAAGAGAATACTTTTTGATTAATTAATTCGAAGTGAAAAAGAAAAAAAAAAAAAGTCAAACGATGGTCGTAAATAAATAGAAAATCAATATTTATTAACTTTAGAAAGGATATTTTTATCTTTCGTGATTTTTATCTTTCTCTCAACATCCGGATTACTTTTGAAAGGAAATCTTTTTCGAATAATTAATACGAAGAAGAATATTTAAAGAAATAATTGCAATTTAATATAGATTCAATCAAGATCATTTGAAAGGATTCAAATCCTTTTGTTCCGTTTGTTCGACATTTACGTCACGTTCGAAAAATCATTTCGATTAATTGATTAAAAGAGAAGAGAAGAAGAAAAAAAGAACAAAAGAATTTTCCAAATTTCGAAAGAATTTTTTTCCATTTCGAAAAAATTAAATAATAAAGGAGATCGAGGGGCAGGCGGGGGGAGGGAGGGAGGGGGGAGGGAGGGTGAAAAAATATTAACGATCTGATGAATGATTTAAATAAATTTATACTGAACGATGGATGATCATATTATATCCCTTGCAAACATACTTGAGATAATATATACACATGGATAAGAAATCGATGCACACAAACGACCGTATAAATCGATCAGAGAGAGAGAGAGAGAGAGAGAGAGAGAGAGAGAGCGGGTGAGGAGGAGAGAGAGAGAACGTGAAAGGAAATAGACACGTGAAGAAGAAAAAGAAAGGAAGAAGAAAAAGAAAAAAGAAAAAAGAAATAAAAGAAGAAGATATTATCGACTAAAGGCTTACCTCGAACGCAAGGCAGGCGAACGTAAAGCCAAGGCAAAGTGCGAGCAAGGGTGCGACCAAGACCGAGAGAAATATATAACAGCAACCCCTCGAAAGGCGAAAACAGTGGCCACTCAAGCGCCAAGCGCATTCCGGACTTCGAATGCCTTCCGGTTCGCCGATCACGTCGTCCCACATTACCTGTTCGTAAAACCAACATATACTTTTTTTTTCTTTCTTTTTTATTATTATTATCATCATCATCCTTATTATTATTATTATTATTATTATTATTATTATTATTATTATTATTATTATTATTATTATTATTATTATTATTATTAATCATTTTCAATTCACAAAGATTCACGAGAAAAGAGTAATAATCGATTTTGAAGAATCGCGTTAATATCTTCGTCCTCTTGAAATTTTATTTTCGTATTTATTACACCTCATTTATACGCGGATTTATTCGTAAATCAAAGGAATCACGTGAATGGACTCGTGTCGTGTCGTGTCGGGATGCAGTGGCGCCAAGAGAAATAAAAAGGAAAAAAAAAAGAAAAGAAAAAGGAGAAAAAAGCATATTAAAAAATGGTTCCTCGATATCGTGAGAGAAATATTTTTAAACGAGTATGAAATAAAAACGATCGACTTCCCTTTCAAATTGAAAAATTTAATCGACCTTGTTTTTTTTCTCATCGAACGCTTTCTACGTTCTTCTTTTTTTTTTTCTTTTTTCCTTTTTTTTTGCTTTTTCCTTTTTTCCCCCTCTCTTTTTTTCGACTTTTTTTAATCACTCAAATAGATATTTTAATCAATTATATTAATAAAGGAAAATGGATTCTACGCGTTTCGTAAGAAATAATTGATAATTATTTTATTTCTTCCTCTTGAAATATTTGTTTTAATATATATATATATATATATATATATATATATATATATATATATATATATATGTGCGTGTGTGTGTGTGTGTGCGTATATTTTTTTTTCTTCTTTTGTTTTTTAAACAGTTTTTGTGTTTACTCGGCAAAAAGTAGCAAACTTATATATAAATAAAATTTGGAAAAAAAAAAAATTTGGAAGAAAAGATCATTCGTTGAATAGTTTAAACTGTTTAAAATTTCTCTTGATCTTATATTCTTAGATATTTAATCTTTCTAAATTGTTGAAAATTTCTCAAAAAAAGAAAAAAAGTAATTAAATAAAATAATCATTCACTGGAACGGTTGAACCGTTAAGAATTTGATCTCTTAATCTCTTATTTATTTATCCTTTTAATTAAAAAAAAAAAGAAAGGAAAAAAAAGAAAAAGACAAAAATACTCTCACATGTGTCTGAACGTTTAAAAAAAAAAAAAGAAAATAGAGCTGAGTCTGAAAACTTTAAAGAAAAAAAACAAAAAAAGAAAATAGAAAAAGGGAATATAGGGTGTCCCATAAGAAAAACTAAAAGTTATTAAGCTCGTCTAGAAAAATAACGAAAAGGAAAAAAAAAGAAAGAAAAAAAGAAAAAAATGTCTGCGTTCAAATGTTAATGCTTTATATTTTATTTTAATGTATCATTTATTTGTCTCATTTATTCATCGTTTTAATTTTTCGAAATGAAAATAAATAAATAAATAAATGAATGAATGAAGGAACGAACGAACGAACGAACGAACGAACGAATGAATGAATGAACGAATGAATAAATATTAATTATTTTGAAATCGTGAGATTTTATATCGTACGAACGTAAAATTATTTATGAAATAAATTGTTAAGTTAACCTGAAGATGTTGATTAAGACTATTTGGATCCCTGTCTTCAAGATCCATAGCACTGGCACCGTCGGCAGATGATTCTGGCTTCTCCATTCCTGGAAGATGAAAGTTGCACTTCGGTGTTGGGCACTGACAGGCGTTCTTCAATCTAGCGAACATCCTCTCCTAACACGAAAATTTCCCCGAGTAAACCAGATCTTTTGTTTGCCAATAAATTTAAACGGTTAAGAAAGATCAAAGGTTTTCTTTGCGAGCGGGCTCACATATGGCATTAACATAACGCGAGTGAATGCTAAGGCCACGAAGGAACGTAAGAGAGTATCCCGACATTGATCATTTTTCTTTTTAATAATATATTATATCAAGTATACCATACGGACGAGATTTCACTATGATTCGTTTTTCGATCGATTTTTTTCTTTTTTCTTTTTTCTCTCTTTTTTCTTTTTCTTTTTTACTATCGAAACGCTGAATGATCAAAAGGACAAAGAGAGATAGATAAAGATAGATAGATAGATAGATAGATAGAGAGAGAGAGAGAGAGAGAGAGAGAGGGATGGTCTTTTAATTAATCCATTTAATGAATTATTTATGTAATTTGGAATTTTGCAAACTCACATACTTCTTTTTCTTTTCTTTTTTCTTTCTTTCTTTCTTTCTTTCTTCTTTTTCTTTTTATTTCTATCCCAACGAAAGATCAATCGTTACGTATCGATGTGTTAACGATTATATTCTATTCGTATCAATTGATATTTAGAGAAATTTTCTTTTTTTTTTTTTTTCTTTTTTTTTTTTTTTGAAAAAGCGTGATCGTAGATTGTATTAACGATTCGTATTGTTAACAATAATGTTTACGAAATAGATTGGAAAGGAAAAAAAAGACGTATTTTAGCGATGGCGTAGCGATGCGGAAAAAGGTAAGGCTATAAAACTTAATTGCGTGTGTGTGGATTTGTGTGTGTATTCATGTGTGTGTATGTGCGTGCGCCTGTGTGTGTGTGTGTTCGCGTGTGTTACCTTGAATTCAACGTCATAATCGCTAGATATCGATTCGCGAAAAGTTAAAACTGGTGGATTGTAAAGGCTACATGTTTGGCACTCTTTCAGACATTTCTTTCTTTGATTTAAAAATATATATATATATATATATATATATATATATATATATATATATATGTAAGTATGTGATATCGGTATGTATATAGGTATGTATATAGGTATGTATATACTTCGATCGAAAAATTTTTATCCTTTAAGTTTGTAGAAAAAGTTAAATCCTGAAGAGTCTGTGATAAAGTTCACACGTTCAATGTGTCGCGCGACACGAAATGACAATTCTTGGATAAGGTGTAAATTTTTTATGTTAAGTGTCACGCGCGTTATACGCGGTTTCTTTCGAACAGAAAATCGATATTAAAGTAGCCAAACTATGACGTAGAAAAAGTGATTATATGCATTAGGTCCGTCTACTTTGACCAAAATCAACAATGACGTTTTTCAATTCATTATGAACATCGTTACTGTACATTTATAAAAATAATATATACAAGTAGAGATATCGTTTATTAATAAAAAGAATGAAAATGTTTATTGGAAAATAAAAAAAAAAAAAAAAGAAAAACTAGAAAAAAAAAAAAATAATCGTCGTCCTTTATCGATTTTTCTTCGCTTCTTCTTTTTTTTTTGTGTGTGTTTTTCTTTTTTTTGTTTTTTTTGATTTCTTCTCCTTCGATACGACATTTCTATTCTATGGACTGTACAATAAAATATTTATCAAAAAAAGAAAAAAAGAAAAAGACAAAAAATAAGATAAAATAATATCGCCATCTTTCAATTTCATTAACCTTTTTTCCTTTTTTTTTTTTTTTTTTTGTTTGTATTGCTATATTTATTTATTTCAATGGAAAGATAATGAATTAGATTTATACAAGGAAAGTTAATCGTTAAAATTAAAACGAAACAATTCGTTAAGTTTCGTTCTATGAACTATTACGAATAAGTTTGAAGCTTAATTGAAAATCAATTGCAAAAAGTTTCGTTTATTCGTTTGAAAAAAAAAAAATCCATACAATTTGCATTGATAATTCATAAGATTTCAATCGTTTACACGCAGTTGTTTACTTTCATGGCTAATTAATTTAAGATATAATATACATTTATATATATATATATATATATATATATATATATATGTATATATATATAATATCTTTTTTTATTTATAAAATAAAAATGTTCGAAATCAAAATGGTGTCCAGTAACGAGGATAAATAAATTATTGATAATTAAGTTGCTATCTTTTTCTTTTTTTATTTATAAAATCAAAACTTTTGGAACATACATACAGACATACACACACACACACACACACACACAGACTAAACACACTTTACGTGACAATGCAAATATACTACAATTAGATCGTAAAAATTTCTTCGAAAATTATACGAACTATATGAACTATATGAGATATTATGAATGAATCTAATTATACGAAGTGCTCTTATGTGACTATACTATAAGGAAAGAAAAGAAAAGAAAGAAAAAATGAGAATTACAAAAAATTCACGTACAAAAGATAGAAAAAAATGAAGAAGAAGAAAAAGAAGAAATTTGAAAGCAAAACGATTTCTAATCAATCGTTAGACACGGTTCACCCTCATGTATCACCATGTATCAATATGTACGTATACTATAGAAAAAAATTATGTTCACTTACTTCTAGTATTTCAATTCCTTGTACTTTTTCGTGTTCTTTCTTTCTTTTTTTTTTTTTCTTTTCTTCTATTTTATTACTTCGGAGACGTCAAAATGAAAAAGAAATTGTTCGATGTTGCTCGCTTATAATGTTACAGAGTTTTGCAGGTGGAAAAGCTTAGGTTAAAACACAGGTGGATTGAAACGGTGAGAAAGAGAGAGAGAAATAGAGAGAAATAGAGAGAGAAAGAGGAAGAGAGAGAGAGAGAGAAAGAGAAAGAGAGAGAGAGAGAGAGAGAGAGAGAAAGAGAGAGAATAAGGGACGAACGCTTCTAAGTGGACAACGGTCAACGCGCATGCGCATTAACGCCATTGTAGAATTACACCCCCACAATATATTGTTCAACGCAGAGAGAAAGAGAGAGAAAGAGAGAGAGAGTACAATAACCCTATTTCCAACGAAAGTGAATGTCAGGTACGTTCACGACATTGAACGATTTTCTGATAATTATTACGCATTCATTACGTCGACCAATCGATAGAATTTCTTCGTTTATTAGTAAAACTACATCTACGATTAATAAGACTACGATACGATTTTATATATTTATGGAAATTTATAGAAAATTGTATGTCATAGAATAAGGATACTTTTATTGAATTTAAATTGAATAGAATTTGATGGGTTTATTATTTTTTTTTTCTCTTTTGTTTTCTTTCTTTTTCTTTTTTTTTCTTTTTCTTTTTTTTAATTTCACTTATAAATTTTTTTCTTATTAAATTTTTAATTGAAAATTTTATTACGAGAGAGAGAGAGAGAGAGAGAGAGAGAGAGAGCGGTACAATACGTAAAATAAATAAAGAAATAATTTATAATCTTAATTAATTAGATAAATATAAAATCATTCATTCAAATGAAACTATGGAGAATTTTAATTATAATTAAAAATAAATAATATTTATTAATATTGATAAATAATAAAAGAATAAATTTAACAATTTTAATAAATTTTACGAATTTAACTTGTAAATAAATTGATTTTGTTAAAAGTAATAATAATTAATAATATTTAAGTTGTAAATTGTAGAAATTTTTTATCAGATTTTTTATAATATATTTATGTATATATATATATAAATATATTATATTATATATATATATATATATATATATATATATGTGCGTAAACTATTATGAAAAATTGTATTAGTTCTAAACTTTAGTTCATTTTTTTCTAAAATGTATATAGATGGTAACCTAGTAATCTTCATTATCATCCAGTTTATTGTACTGATCTCTAGCGGAGAGATGGTATATTATTGACAAAATGTGAATAAAGTTCAAAGATATTCCATTAGATGACGCTAGGTATTCTATTTATTATAAATTATGAAAGTACTTATTCATTCGTCATAAGGAATAAATTTTTTTTATTGGAAAATTTATTGTTATTATAAAATGTATTATTTATCAATTCGAGAAAGCAATCTAGATATTTCAATTAATTTTTTACTTAAATATATTTCTTTCAATTAACAAAAATAATAATTTATTTATTTCATTGTATAATAAAAATTGACAATAATATAATGAATAATTTAATATCATTATTAATTATTAAATCTTAATAGTTAACGAAATTTTATAATAATAAAAATTTTATAATAGTACTTAAAAAATATATGTAATAAATAATAAAAAATAAATAATAATAATAATAATCATTATGACGAAATAATCTACAATATTTTATCTACATTTTGAGATATATTTTTTGATATAGAAATAATATTATACATATAACTAATAAAAAACAGATATATTAATATTATTATAAATTAATATTAAATATCATAAATAATCTATGGTATGCAATATATAATTTTTTAAATATAATTTTTAAATGTAACTTTCAAACATTAATTTCGATCATAAAATGTTATTTATTATTCTTTATATAAATAATGACAATAATAATTGATAGTAACAATATTAATAATAAATAACAACTAATAATATACACACATATATATATATATATATATATATATATATATATATATATATATATACATTATTGAGATTTACCGTTTAGACGTTGACTATATAAAAAAGAAAAAAAAAATATATAAATAAAACAGCAATTTTATGATCGGAAGATCTCGATATAAATATAAATTTATTTTTATATTTTCCATTATCTTCGTATTTTTACAATAAAATATAAATACTTACTTATACCACTGTATATACCATACATACATACTCACACATACACACACACACACACACAGATACATATACGATGTACTTTACGTCGTAGGCAAAATTGTCGTAAAACGAATATTTGTCAGAGTGAGGATTACAGATATGAGGAAAAAGAATTCGAGGAAGAAGGGGAAGAAGGAAAGAATGAAAAAAGAGAGGAAGACGAGAAACCGGGGTGGTAGGTAAAAGTTAAGGGAAAGAAAGAGAAGGGTGTGGAAGTAAGTGAGTGCTAAAACCGGATGCTCGTATCTGCCTCGAAGCGATAAAGATAGTTCAACCTCGCTCTTGTTGCCTTAGCTACCGTATGAACGCTGTCTTCCTATTACGTATATTATCTCTGAAATTCCATCTAACTGTGTAAAGTGTATTCCCCTCTCTCCCTCTCCCTCCCTCCCTCTGTCTCTCTCTCTCTCTCTCTCTTTCTCTCTTACCCTATCTTTTCTTCCCCTACCCTTTACTCCGCATAAGGCATGAAACATGCGGTAAAGTGAGTTCTTAATTTTGATACTTCGTTGAATGCAACTAACGAAATTCTAAATTCCATAAGAATATACAACTGTTAAAAAAGCAATTTTTTAACTTATTATTATTATTATTATTATTAAATTAATATTAAATTATTTTCAACATTAATAATTATGCGTTAATCGAAAGGTTTCGAGAAGAAAAGATCGTAGGGTATTAGTGAATTATTGAAAAAAAAAAGAAAAAATTGATTTATTTGCAAGTTAAATTTGTAAAATTTATTAAAATTATTAAACTTATTCTTATATTATTTATCAATATTAATAAATATTATTTATTTTTAATTATAATTAAAATTCTCTTTAGTTTCAATTGAATGAAAGACATTATATTTATCTAATTAATCAATATTATAAAATTGTTTCTTTAATATATATATATATATATTATATATATATTACATACATTTTTACATTTAACAAATCATAGCAATTCTCGTATAGTTAATAACAAATAAACAAATTGTTTCGACTTGTAACGATATCCACGATTAATGTAATTTCTTGTGTTATACCAATGCAATAACGACATAAAGCTTAATCTTTCCTTCCGCGTCACCTCTCTCTCTCTCTTTCTCTCTCTCTCTCTCTCTCTTTCTCCTGTTTTTTTTTTTTCATTTTATTTTTTTTTTTCTATAGAATAACTTACTCCTAACGTTTTGCGACGAGATCGTGTGCGCGCACTCTCCTAAGGGACTTGTGTAATCCGGAATGAATGAACGTGTAGGTGCAGTCGGCGATTGCGCCATTGGCGTGACAAAGAGAACGAAAGAAGGAGACAGAGAGAAAGAGAGAAAGAGAGAGAGAGAAAGAGAGAAAGAGAATGAGAAAGAGAGAAAGAGATAGACTGTCGGACCTTTCGATCAACGACACGTGCAACATAGCAACGACAATATAAATGCGATATAAAGCATGTTGCATAGTCGAGGTGCGCTCGCGCGCACGACCACCGAGTGTCATAACCCCTTGCGACTTTACTTGCGCAAGTATCATACGTAGATAGATTATGTCTATCTAAATTCTAAACGTTCTCAACCCTGCCATATAGGATTAGAGAAATGTTTTGTTAAATATCGTTACGTTTCTTATGATAACGGGCTCCTTCACGTTTCTTTATTCTCTTTTTCCTTGTTTTCTTGTGTTTCTTTTTTTTTTCTTTTTTTTTGTTTTATTTATTCTTGTTCTCCCTTTTCCCTTTCAATTCTTCTTCTTCTTCTTCTTCTTTCTTTCTTTGAAGATAATCCACATAGACGTTTTGCGAGATCGTAGAAAATACGATTGTAGCATTTGATCGAACGTTAACATCCATTGAAAAAATCATTAATTTTGTTTTTCCTTTTCTTTTTTCCTTTTCTCTTTCCTAAATTATGAATCTGTCGATTTCACGATTTTTTTTCCTATGTTTCCCCCTTTTTTTTGTTTTTTCTTATATTATTACATCGACGTCGTATGATAATATATGATTTATTAAATTTAAAATGATGACTTTTTAATTTCTTTAAGCACTTAATTATTATCCGATGGCTGATGATAAGAAATAAACAATACTGTTAACGTTTTGTTCGAATGAGGAAAATGTCTTTTTTATGTAATTTTTTTTTCTTTTTTGGTGAATCTGTAAAATCAATCGTCAATGTTATTCGGAAAATTTTATTTCTAATGATCACAGGTAATAATTAATTATTTATACGCGAATAATGTACATATTTTAATATTAATAATTTATATTATCCATTCGTCGCGTAACACGATGATCATAGTTATTAATCATATTGTCGAACTGTATTAGCATTAAATGATCTGTAAAATGACTTGTTAGCATTTGATATATTCGTTTTAAGCATTTAACCGTATCTGTATAATAATTTATACAATTGATACGATAAATATCATTTTAATGATCGCACAGTATTATTTTTCCTTTTTTCTTTTTTTTATTTTTATTTTTCTATTTTTGTTCTTTTTTCGTTTTTTTTTTCTTTTTTTTTTTTTATTATATTTTTTCGGTATTACTCGACAATAATCATGATTTATTAACAATTTTATCCTACTTAATTATCAATTGACGATCTATAAAATGTCCCACTGCGTTTGATATATCACTTTTGAAAAATTTCATCGTATCTGTATTAATTCGTAATTTGAAAAGAAAAATATATTATTTTAATTGATCACACATTATTATTTGCAATTTACTTTTTCTTTTTTATTTTTATTATTTCATTACAATTATTATATGTCTAATGACGTTAGTCATGATTGTTAATTATTTCATCCTGCCATTTTATATTATCAATTAACGATTAATAAAATGTCTTTTTGCATTTCATATATATATATATATATACATATTTCATCTATTCGAAACATTGCCATTGATATATCCGTTCTATAATAATTCATAAAAATATTCTGAAATAAAAAACATGAAAAAAGAAAAGAAGCGAAAAAGAAATTATTATTTCAATCGATCAGACATTATTACTTTAATTTGCCTTTGTTATTCCATAATAATTATTCCGACAATCGTATGATCATTAATAATTACGTTATACTATAGTAAGGATAAATCGTCCGTAAAATGACTTGTACTTGGTATATTCGCTTAGAATATACGTCAAAGTGTATCTATAATACATTTATGCGTAAGCAACGATGACAATATAATTTTGAAAGTTGAATGTCATCCTATCCTTCTCTCTCTCTCTGTGTGTGTGTTTGTATGTGTGTGTGTATGTGTGTATGTGTGTGTATGTGT